ATGATATAGATAATATAGATAAAATAGATGATTTAGATAATTTAAATGAAATTAATAGTTTAACTGATTTGTTTGATCCAACAAAACATAGAATACAAGGTCAAACAAAAGAATTATCTGCTTCAGAAAAATTTCATTATATAAATCAATTTTGGGGACATGTTGATCTTTATCCAGAAGACTGTATATCATCAAAAAATATAAAAAAACAATGTGATATTTCTTTAAAAGATTTATTAATTTCAACATTAATTGGAGAAATAACCCCTAAAGAAATATCTGAAATTTCTTTAACATATTTAAGTTTAATTGATAATATAATAAAAAATAAAATAATTAATGATAATAATGATGATAAACAAGATGAAGATGAAGATGAAAATGAAAATAATGAAGATAATGAAGATAATGAAGATGATAAAGATGATAATAAAGATAATGAAGATAATGAAGAGGATAAAGAGAATGATGAAAAGAATGATGAGAATGATGAAGAGGATGATAATAATTATGATAATAACAATAATATTAAAGCTTCGCATAAGCCAGCTTGGCTTGGATTGCCACTAGCTCAAGCTGAGCCACTTTTTTTCGGCTCAGCTCAGCTCAGATTGTGGAGATCAATTGACAAGCAAAGCCAAGTCAAGCCGGCTTGCAAGTCAGCTCGTTCGGCTTGCATTTATATTTAGAAATGAAAACCGTTGAGAGAAACGTTTCTCATCAAGAGATGTGTTCCTGGAACGATTTCCTTTGAGAGGAATATTTCCGGAGCATTTTCTATTAAGGAATTCACTTCTGGAGCATTTTCTTTAAAAGAATTCACTTCCAGAGTGATTTCCTTGAAGGATTTCACTTCTGGAACAATTTCCTTGAAGGATTTCACTTCTGAAGCGATTTCCTTGAAGGATTTCGCTTCCGAAGCGATTTCCTTGAAGGATTTCACTTCCAGAGCGATTTTCTTGAAGGATTTTGCTTCTGGAGCGATTTTCTTGAAGGATTTCACTTCCAGAGCGATTTTCTTGAAGGATTTCGCTTCTGAAGCGTTTTCGCTTTTGAAGCGTTTCCTTGAAGGATTTCGCTTCCAGAGCGTTTCCTTGAAGGATTTCGCTTCTGGAGCGTTTTCTTGAAGGATTTCGCTTCCAGAGCGTTTCCTTGAAGGATTTCGCTTCTGGAGCGTTTTCCTTAAAAAAAACGCGACTGGTGCCATTTCTTTATTCAGTGAAAAATATTTAATTATTTAACATTGTGATACTAAATTTATATTGATAAATGAATTTATCTTTATTTTTAATTT